CTAGGTGATCCGGTATGATATGAAGAACTAGTCCGGGTCGCTGTAGTTCTAGTTGGTGATCTGGTTTGACCATCTGAATAGGATCGGCCATGAGATGTGGATCTGCACTGTGATCATGATTGGTCAATGGCTCTGTAAGGTGATCTAGATCGTATAGGTGACCTGGGTTGGTAAGATGATCTGAATTTGTAAAGTGATCTCGATGCACTAACTGGAAACTGTGATCGTGATCTGGATCTATAAGGTGATCTGGATGGAACAGGTGATCTGGTTTGCAGTTGCGATCTGGCTTGATTTGGTGATCTGGCGATCTACTTTGACGTTGTGATATGGATCGGTTAGGTGACCTAGATCGGTCCGGTGATCTGATTCGATGTTGTGATCTGGATCGGTCCGATGATCTACTTCGATGTTGTGATCTGTATCGGTTCGGTGATCTGGATCTGTCCGGTGATCTGATTCGAAGTTGTGATCTGGACCCGTTTGGTGATCTGGATCGGTTAGGTGATCTGGATTGATCAGGTGATGAGGATCGTAGTTGTGATCTGGATCGTGACTGTGATCTGGATCGATCGGGTGATCTTGATCGGCACGGTGATATAGATTGGGCTTGTGATGGTGATCTGGATCGTGAAGGTGATCTAGATCGTTGTGGTGATCTAGAATGATGTGGCGATCTGGATCGGTGATTAGGTGATGAAACCTGAAGTGTTGATTCATAATGAACGTCCCCCGGCCACGCTGTTGTAGCCAGCACCGTCCGGTTCAATGAACTTTTGGGAGACAGTTGGCTGGTTGAAAGCGGTTGGCCAGGCTTCAAACAAACTGAGACAGTCGAGGGGATATGTACTGATGATCTGGAGGATGATAGTGTCGATCTAAGGTCCCCTGGTAGTGTAGATGGGACAGGCAACGAAGAATTATCGATCACAACCACCCGCGAGTGATCTGACTCTATGGAAGGAGGTGATTGATGCGTACGTAATAGGTGCCAAACGTCCTCAGATAAGTAAGAATCTGATGAAGCGTCCATAAAATCCTCTTGAACCACAGACGTTGCTCTCTTGCGTGAAGTTACGATTTTCTGTCGCTGTAAATTGATACGCTTGGGGGAGTGGGATCAGATTCTGTTGATTTCCTGTCCCAATCGGCGATTCTCCGGGAGCAAACACGAAGGTAGGCCTTAAAATCCTCAGCTTTTAGTGAATTACACTTGCCACATCGTTTATTCCAGTTACATTGTCCAATACAGTCACTGCAAGACAAGTGAGGGTCGAGGGACGAATAATTGGTCTTGCATTGAGCACAAACGTTCCTTTTCCTTGACTGATTATCAGTTTTCCCCATGATGTTAGGGAGAAATAATGTCCTCAATATACAGCACGTCCACACAGTCGTGCGACAAGAAAGAGAATGATCATTCAAGGTAGTCACGTGGGAAATTAGTGGAGCATGCTGCAAGCTTTATTAGGAACTAGGAAGCTAATTAACCCCCTGGATGCCACAGGGACATATATGTCCATCCCCTTCAACCCTCAATTTCAAGTCCAATAAAAATCAAAATATCCCACGCACACAAATACACTTCACAGTTTCGAATTCTGCGGGAAATTTCCTGTTTCTTGATACCATCCACTATTATTTTAGACAAAGCTCAAGTGCTGAAAATGACCTTTCAAAATAGGCTTCATCGAAAATGTCGCCATTTTTGACACAGTATGAAATCGCGATTCACAGCGTTATTTGCTGTATGTTTTGAAATGTGAAAATCGGATAATTACTGGGAGTATTGAATTTCAAAAATAACATATTCATGATCACTGATATCAGTTTTACATGAAATCGCTAATTATAATACTGAAACGTTGCCGTTGAATCTAGAATCGGTTGGGATGTTTTCGAAAATGCACTTACACGAACGCCATAGAGCGTTTCGCAAAGGCCAATATTGAGACACCTATTACATCACGTATGTTTCATATGCAGCTTCGAAAAATGCATCATTGAATTCCCCATACATTTTAGAATCAAATTGCAACTGGTCTGTGTCACCAATACCAATTGTCTAGATAAAATGAGACGAAACATATTGGGTGTGAAAACGAACGCTGTGCTTGAAAGACTGCGCTTGTCTGAAATGTAAACAATGACAAATTCCGATTTTCCACTGCGTAGCATTTTTCAACATTCGTCCGTCTATTCATTGCTTGCAATGGCTCAACACCTTTGGAATATGCATGGTAAGAGTATCGTAGTAAGCAATAGGAAATTATAAATAGATACAATGTAATGATTTGATAATTCATAAGAAATTGTCAAAGTTTCCGTGCAGCGTGACGCCATGACTGACGCAAAATCACGCAGAACGACAACGATAATTATTTGGATTTCTGGCTTTTTCCCTTACTTATAGTGAAAACGATAAAAACATATAACAATACACAGATAGTCAGAATCATTCTGATTACTTACATCTCATATTTATGTACAAACGATCCCTGAATCAATGGAAGGGTCCTCTCAAAATCCTGTGTACCCTTGTCAGCAAAGCTGCCATTTTGTAAGAAATCGGTCAGCGGTAGTGATGTCATACGTCAACATTGTTCTACATATTAGGCAATTTCCTTGAGGTGAAGGTCGGTTGAACAAGAGTAAACACAATCACCAATCCTTCCGATTACACTGTCAGTATTATGGTGTATATTTTTGCATGATAGTTCACATACTTTTCATGAAACTGACTTCAGTATCGTTTAGCCTTGTTCAATATCATATCATACGTGCATATAGGGTTTACGGTGTTTATATTCTTTGAAAGTTTTTGATTGTTTGAATCATATTTACATAAGAAATTGACATATTTAGTGCAATACACCATATTCTAAACCTTTACACAAGTGTCAGAAGATCAAACGTAGCCATGACTGCAACTACTTTAGTTCCTATGATGTACAATATTCAATTTATTTGGACTAATATTGCAATTTCATATGAACAGGTTAATGAACGGTGATTTAATTCAACCTTATTTGTAAAATGAAATGTAATTAATGAAAATGATTTATATATGGTATGACATGTATATGCACACATATTTAAAGGAATTGTCTTGTTCATTGCATAATTTTGTGTCGTTTTATAGACAAAAGAATGATGCATATTGATCGGCCAGGTGCGCGTTTGTCGGAAACGTTTTAAGATTCTCTACCATTGTTTTCGATAATACAATCAATTCATATTCGATTTAATAATATTGTGATGACAGGATATCAAACTCTAACTACATTTATAGGAAAATTGTTGAAAATATATATACCATCTCATGTGTTAATTCGACAAATCTTACATCCATATTCTAATATATAGTTCCATATATAAAAGCTATCTTTTTGCATCTTTCATTGCATAATGCATGAAGAGAAATAGCTACATAATCATAAACAAACAAAATTCTTATCCCAAACAAAATATTCGGTGTTGTGAAATATTATTTTTATTTACGCTAAATTGATGCCAAACAGGTGCTGTGGTTGTTCACAATAAGAAACGCTGTCAAACCGTCTAATTGTTGATATATTCAGGACACTATTTAAATTGAAAAATCAGTAATTTTATGTTTTGTCTAAAGAGTGTTAAATTCTGACATAGAAGCCGAGACCTTTTATACAATTAATGGGAATTAGGGGAGATATATACTAATCAGCATTCCAATGTCGTCTTTTTCCGACGTCGCAAAATGCATAAAACAAGCAATGACGTCAACTAAAATGTTGTATTATTTTCAGCAATTTCATTACTTTGATCATATGGCTAGTATTCTGGTAATAATGATGCCAAATTAGTCAAATTACATCTACACAAACAGGAGAATATGGGAATCTAAGAACTAACTTATATATCGGATAGGGCCATCCAAATCGCTATTACGTGCTTTCACATGTAATATGTTGTCATTTTTCTTGTAAATTGTGAAACTTTCAAACTGCATCCGCTCATATTGGGGAACTTTGAATTGGAATAGTTTGGTTCACCATGAACATAAAATAACGAAAATATAGCGTCCGCATCCACAACAAATTCTCTCCAAGTGATCTGAGTAACATTGACCTAGTGTTACACATAACGGAGTTATGCCCCCTTATCATTATACGTGTATGACCTCTCTGTCGTCGTTTGACGTCATAGAAGAAAATCCATTTTTGACATTTATTGCGAGTCATTTTAAATGTTGAGAGTATAACGTTATGCACAAGCACATAAACCCAATTCATATACACTTATGTTGTTCAGATATCAGGCTGTATTTTCTTCGCTCACACTTTCCGTAAAGATGCCACATTAAAAAATTCGTAGCACGGTGCTTTTATCAGTGCACGATAAAAAGCGGAGAAATTTACTTTTTTTTAACGCATAACAAACTTTGGACAACATTTAGAAAGATCTATTTCTCAAACCGCCGAGGTAGTTGCACTTATATATATACCAACGGATAGGAAATTTAATATTCTACATTTCTGTGTAATTTTATAGCCGTACGTAGATCCAGGACCACGCGAGCGCAATTCTCACACAACGTTGACTTTTCAAACCGTATGAAAATGTGAGCCTGAAAAAAACTCGGCCTCAAGGGGGTTAAGGAGAGCAGCATGGAGTGCACGGGCGAATGGACAAGGAGGCCTATGGAAAAAAGTTTACAGTCGTTCCACTAATAGTCGAAGTAAGAGAGAGAGGAGCAAGTCGTGAGATAGGATAAGTTTAAAAATTCATGTTTATGATATGAATGTGAGCATGTTTAGTATTACATGCAAACTAGCCAAACTGAAATTTTTTAAATTGGCATGACACAGCATCATCATATAACTGATAGAACACTGACATCATATTTATCCTGGTTAGCAAACCAAGCTATGGCAGCAAATGGCCCAGGCTATCACACTATTTGGGCATCTGCAATAAATGATAAAAATGATGCAAGAAATGTGGATGAAGTGATGAAGTACCTCCCATCATCTTCTTCGGTGGCAGGCGTGGAACAAGGCGATATGGAAACCGTAGCATGAGAAGCTCATGGTATGCCAGGAAGTCATTATAGCGACGCAAAACAGTCGTCTTGTAGCGCTGAAACGATTAAAAACAGACCCAGAATAATATTGCTATAATGACGTTCTAAATCATCAATACCAAAACCTTAAATTATATATATTTCATACAGAGTGTGTGCAACCTGTTTTTGAATGGTGAATCAAGATTATAAACCAAGGTTCCACCAGGTGCATACATTTTCATTTGGATCATTAATTTGGATCTTTAATTTCCATATCTATGGGGCATAGACAATATCAAACACTGCGTTACCTGCATAACGAAAGAGTACTCAAAGTATGACATTTATAAGTTCAAAGACAGACTGACTGAATTTGGCTTTACGCCGCTTTTAGCAATATTCCAGCAACATCACGGCAGGGGACACTAGAAATGGGCTTCCTTCACACGTTGTACCCATGTGGGGATATGAACCCGGGTCTTCGGCGTGACGAGCCAACGCTTTAACCACTAGACTACCCCACCGCCCCTAAATTCAAAGAAGACTGTTCTTGACATTTCTTGTTTCACGATGTCAGAGGCAATTTCATATACCAATACTATGATTAATAGGAACTGTCAGTCATCTCAGCAAACAGCAACAAACATGGAAAGTTAGGTAGACTAACTACATACAATGTCACTGGTACTGGCTAGCGAACAGTTATCGCAGCGTAACAGTTATCGCCAATACATCAGTATCACACGTGCGCAGTTCCGGTCATTTAAAATTCTGGTATTTTTCCCCCACGCTAAGGACAGCCAAAGAAAATTCTTCACGGCAAGTAACACAAGAAGACAAAGTCATCAATATCCCCCGCAATGGCAAAATACTCTTCATGATTATGTCTATGAGTTATGATTATGTCAAATATTTAGGTGTGTATATAGAAAAGTGGAAGGAGAGTATTGAAAGGTTTTGAAAGTTCTGCTCCGGAAAAGAGCACAACCACCAATTTCAGTCTAAGTCAAACTTGTTGCCATGGAAACGCCAAAAATATTTTATTCAGAATTCCAAAACTACCAAAAGGCACAAGTACACCACCAGATCTATCTATGTGCCAAGTTTGGTGAAGAAATATCGAACAGTTTTAGAGTTCAGCTCCGGAAAAGAGCATTACCACAATTTCAGTCAAAGTCGAACTTGTTGCCATGGAAACGCCAAAAATGTTTTATTCAGAATTCCAAAACTACCAAAAGGCCCCAGTACACCACCAGATCTATCTATGTGCCAAGTTTTGTGATGAAATAATGAACGGTTTTAGAGTTCTGCCCCGGAAAATTCAGTCAAAGTCAAACTTGTTGCCATGGAAACGCCAAAAATATTTAATTCAGAATTCCAAAACTACCAAAAGGCACCAGTACACCACCAGATCCATGTATGTGCCAAGTTTGGTGAAGAAATATTGAACGGTTTTAGAGTTCTGCTCCGGAAAAGACAAATGTGCACGGACGGACGGACGGACGGACTGATGGACGGACGGACGGACGGACGGAGTCCATTTTAATACCCCCCGCAAAACGCGTTGCGGGGGATAATAAGAGTGAGTGAGTGAGTTTAGTTTTATGCTACACTCAGTAATATTCCAGCTAAATGGCAGCGGTCTGTAAATATTCGAGTCTGGACCAGACAATCAAGTGATCAACAGCATGAGCATAGATCTGTGCAATCAGGAACCGACGACGTGTGTCAACCAAGCCAGTGAGCCTGACCATCCGATCCCGTTAGTCGCCTCTTACAACAAACATGTGTTACTGAAGATTCATTCTAACCCGGATCTTTATGGGTCAGTAACATAAGGGGAAAAGTAAAGTAATGAACCCTTTAAAAACTTTTAACTTAGTCAGGGGGATGTCTCATGACCTAGATAATAGCAAATTCAAGTTCACAAGTCATTAATTGTTTCATTCCCTATCAATCTACTGTAAAAGAAACACTCAAATAGTCACACAATCAATTATTCGAGGTTCTGAAGGATATAAATACATTTCATGAATGGCATGAGAAATTCTAAATGGTGAGAAATGTTAGTTAGTTGTGAGAAAACATCTATTTATACTGCCATGATTCCCTTCTGTTGCGTTATATAAAAACATGATCGGCGGTAGTGAACGGGCTGGACTCATCAGTGAATGGCTAAATAGTATCATGATTAATTTTGTTTCATTAATTTAACAAACGGCGGAGTAATTTTTTAAATACCGCTAAAATATGACGATAACTGTTTGTTAGCCATTACTGACCCAGTGAAAAAACACTAAGGTAAGATAATTTCCAGGTACTTTAATATGTACGTTTCACATATGTGCCTGTTCTGTTTCATCAAATGATAACATTTTCTAATAATCATATTGTTACCTCACCAACATAAGTGACCCAAGGCCTTCGGGACTAAAATTATTTCACAAAGCAAATCCTATGTCTATCTACTGTTAAGAATAGTTATCACATTTGTATTTTAGATATATTTAGTCAGATTTTGTTTGGAAAGAAAATACACACAAATTTATTTATGAGGAGTGCTTCCACCGCATGGGAGAATACAAGGTCAAAAAGGTTCTGTGATAACTAGTGTGGAAACGATTGACCGAATAATCGGTCAATTGATCAATCTCGCTTGTATCATATGTCATCAGTGACCTTGAGACTAATCAATATTCTTAAAAAAATGAAACAAATATACCGTAGAGAATATGTTCTTATTGTTTTGTTTGTTAAATCAAGGCCTAAACAACTGGTGCAGTTTCCTGCAATGTATACAACATACTTGCGTACTTCTCGACAGAAGTACCCTTCATCGTCTTAACTGTGGTATTAATCAATATTTATACAAAAACTAAACATCAAATTAAACCACAGAGAGTATGTTTCTTATTCTTGTGTTTGTTAAATCAAGACCAAAATGTCTATGCAGTTGCCTGACTCCTAAAACTGCAGTGTAAACCACATACTTGCGTACTTCATACCTTGATACAGCAGTATCCTCGGTTGTCTTAATCGTGGTATTAATCGGTGCCTGTTTCGTTTGCACAATGTTGTGATTGTGTCTTATTATTGCCTGCATGAGTTTTGTGGTGGGGTTTACGATTACAATGAAATTATTGATCGATTACTGAGCTCCTATTATCAATATGCATATTGTAAGAGATAACAAGCACTAGTGAAACCCCAATTATATCGTCAAAATCACAATGTATTTTTCATATGAATTATGATTAATCGTACTAAATAGACATCTGTGTTAAATAGGGGCTTGACAGTTTTCCAAGTTAACTATTAATATTCTTTTTATACGAAAGATTATGAGCAGACAGCCCCTATCTGTGACATCACATCTGGTGACCTTTGCACTTACTGACTGACTAACTGAGTTTGGTTTTACGCCACTTTTAGCAATATTCCAGCAACATCACGGCGGGGGACACCAGAAATGGGCTTCACACATTGTGCCCATGTGGGGATTCGAACCCGGGTTTTCTGCGTGACGAGCCAACGCTTTAACCAGTAGGCTACCCCACCGCCCTCCTTTGCACTTACAGAAAAATGAAATTTTTAAAGTAAAAATGAAATTTTTAGAGTAAAAATGAAATTTTTAGAGTAAAATTAATATTTTCTACTTATCCTGACTCATGCTTATTGCTTGTCTTCTTCTTCTGGCGAACCTAGTGGAACACTTGTATCTCCCAATTGAAGTTCCCTTAAATAAAAAATCACTCATTAGTACTGACCACGAGTTACCTCCCTTCCACAAGCGCGTGAACGAGGGCGCCACCCGAACCCATGTGCCTCACTCTCTCCTTTTGTTTCGAGCCCGACACTTTATTTTTCCAAAGAAATCCGAATTGTTAAGTGGGGAGGACGGGAGGGCTTACCTCATGAGTCAGGATAAGTATAAAATATTAATTTTACTCTAAAAATTTCATATTTTTCCTTATCCTGACTCATGCTTATTGCTTGTAGAATCCGGATGAGGAAAAGGAGGTGGGAATATATATACTTTGGATTTTAATAATTAGTGATTTGAACTGTGATGATTGTAATAACCCTATGGGAACTTCATAAAGGCACTGAACTGATGAATTCCTGCTGTTTAACTTATCAGCTGCCATATAAAGGTTATTACAATTTATTGAATATGATAAAAGTATATACAACATTAATGTAAGCTGAAGCTATTAATGTGATAGTATAAACTTCTGTGAGTTTATAGTGGATACTTTTATAAATTAACCAAAGTATTAAGCTTAAGATATGCATATATTTAAGCTATAATAGTATAGTACTGTGCTTAAGATATAATTATAACTTAAGCTGTATAATAGTAACCAACTCCTTAGAGTTTGTTAGCTAATAAATTTATGCATATGACCATATGACTGAGCTTAAGGATTGAGTGAGTGAGTGAGTGAGTTTAGTTTTACGCCGCACTCAGCAATATTCCAGCTATATGGCGGCGGTCTGTAAATAATCGAGTCTGGACCAGACAATCCAGTGGTCAACAGCATGAGCATCGATCTGCGCAATTGGGAACCGATGACATGTGTCAACCAAGTCAGCGAAACTGACCACCCGATCCCGTTAGTCGCCTCTTACGACAAGATAGTCGCCTTTTTATGGCAAGCACATGGGTTGCTGAAGACCTATTCTACCCCGGATCTTCACGGGTCCTTAAGGATTGATGAAACTTAAGCTGAACATATATATAGTAGCAAAACTCCTAGGAGTTGTAAGCTTATATATAGTATGATATAATAACCATAGTACTGAGCTTAAGAAAATATATTAAACTTAAGCAAAATATATAGATAGCATGTAGCTATTAGTACTGTTATCAGATAAGTATAAAATCTGTAAGATTGACTTATCTTCTCCGTGGAACTGTCAACTGTTGAGCGAGGACCATGGGACCGAAATGGTGGATACCTGAGACGTCCTCGGTGGTGATATCTCTCAGATAGTGGTTGGCAAACACCATATCGGATCTCCAGATCAACGAGCAATTCCCATGTAGAGCGAGAGTTGAAGCTAGCGCTCT